AAAAAAAAAAAAAAAAATTTTAAATGATTATATATTATTTTTATAATCAAAAAAAATTTTTTTTCCCAAATAAAGATCCCATTGTCCCTTGAGTGGGGACCAGACTGGAAGCAGGACCTCTGGATTAAGTGACTTTAATCTTGTAACTCTGCCAAGCCTCAAACTTTCAGTACAGTGGGACCCCATTTATAAATCTGTGCACCCCACTCAGGATCATTTTTTGTGCCTTGCCATTCCATCACATCTCCCACATCTTTCCCCTGGGCCAGGAAAAGCAGACCATTTGGAGATGACTCCATGGGTTCTGTCTGACATAGGTACAAAGGGAAACCTTTGCCAACGAAAGATGCCACTCAGTATTAGCGTGGCCTTGACCTTCCCATCTGCCATGATGGCCTCCTATTACCTGCTGCTGCAGACCTATGTACTCCGCCTGGAAGCCATCATGAACGGCATCTTGCTCTTCTTCTGTGGCTCAGAGCTTTTACTTGAGGTGCTCACCTTGGCTGCTTTCTCCAGGTACTGCTTCGCTGAGGGACCATTTCTCATCACCAGAGGGTTGGGTTCCCATCCCAGGGAGGGATTCAGTATTCTTCTGAAGCCTAAGGGATCTAGAAGACTTTAGTGGGGGAAAGGGGTGGCTGGTGGATTGCCTTTCCTGTTTAGGGTAGGTAGATCGATTCCCACTCAGGGAGGATACTCTCCCTATTCTTTGGGGCCAGGAGACTTGGAATATAGAACAGTTGAGGCCAGCTACTCTCATTCACTGGTCTTTTAACATTTTCTTTCTTTCTGCCATCAGTATGGACAGAATTTGAAGTACAGAATTTCAGCCAGCAGCTCATCAGGCTGACACCACACATATTGCTTCTGGTACTTTAGCCACACCAGTGAGAATTGGTGGGGCAAGTTATCCTGAGAAAGGCTGTGTGGCTTTTCTTCAGCACATACGTTTGGGCAAGCAACTCAGCATAAGGCCAGTGGGTGCCATCTTCTAAACCAGGACCATCAACTCGAGACACTGTTCTACACTCCAGCATAGGGACGGGCAAGGTTATTCCCATCCTGCCCCTTCTCAGAACCAGTCCCCTGCTGACCTCAAGTTCTCCTCTTTGATCACCGTGGCCAGAGCATCTCGTGTGGACCATCTAGGCTCCTTGGGCTTCAAGCAGGACCTGAGCCACATGCACCCTGTACGAGTTGTGCCATACCTGTCCCACATGAGCACAGAGAGCCTCATGTTGGTGGGTTTCCAGAGTGATGCGAAAGCCTCTCACCCCAGTCCTCGGAGACTGAGTTTCCAGAACGTTTTTAGTAGCTCATAGTGTTATTTTTCTACTGTCATCATGAAACTAACTTTATTTTTAATAAATATGTATTTTCTGTTGTGGGGGTTGCAGCCTTTCCTTATGGCACCTGTCCCTAGAATTCATCTACTCCAAGAGAGGGTCGTGACTATCCCAGCGGTTTGTTCTCAGGAGCTTTGCTTAGTGATACAGTGTGCACACAAAGGCAGTGATGACCACTGATTTTCTTCCCCAAACTGCAGCCTAAATTAAACCCTGAATGCACTGCCATCCTCTGTATCTTCTTCAAGTCTCTCATCATGCAAAAGACTGCTTATTTGCTTCACTCTGCCCCAAAGTCAGCATCTGGTCTCACTCTTCTTACAGGGAATTGTTAGCTCTTTTCCAGTGGGCCATGTGTAACTGGAAGAAGCGTATTCTAAACTAACTTTTTTTTTTTTTAAAGTTTGGAGACAGTGTCTCAGTCTGTCATCCAGGCTGCAATGCAGTGGCATGATCTTGGCTCACTGCAACCTCTGCCTCCCTAGCTCACGCGATCCTCCCACATCAGCCTCTCAAGTAGGTGGGACTACAGGCACACACCATCATGCCTGGCTTCTATTATCTTTAGAGACAGCATT